ATTCATAACCAACACACAGCACTGCTGAGAGGCAAGAGGACAGAGATTCATTATGCTCTTTACAGCTTCTATAAGATATTTTTTTAAAAAAACCTTGGTTGCTCTTTGCAAAAAGGCAAGAAGCAAAGTGCCCTTCATCTTAGGGTCAGGTATAACAAGCAGGGAGTTGGGGACAGGACAACTCTGGGACAGGTTCCATTCTGTGATTTCGCTCTCCCTTTCTCTGCATTTGTTCTAACACAGGCTGGGCAAGATCATCTATATGGTGGGAGTCACTGAAGTCTCCAGTCAAGAGTTCAGCTTGCAAGGGAAGAGGTAGCCAGCACTGTCTATCATGTTTACCCTTGTGCTAAACTATGTGTGAATATAAAGGACAATTTCTGAAAGTAAACACAAATTTTTAGAGATTTTGTCTCAGCAGCCCTCAAGTGTGTGTCTTAGAATATGCTTCAAAACCAACACAGCTGTAGAAAGGTCTCTTACTTGTTATGCGGTAGCCTGGAGCACACAGTTCTCAAGTCATCTGAAAGAGAACAGAAGACACCAATAAGGGTGAAGCAGAAATTAGAGCAATTTTCCTCTCCACTCTCCTTTCTAGGAAGATGAGATTACTGAAAAAACTCCAGTCATCGACAGATCCAGAATCTCATTCTCAGGCCAAAAATTTCCATCGGACAGAAAATGTTTCTTCATCTCACCAGTTACTACCTCAGCTTTCCACACCAGCCACGTTATTCTATGTTCAGTGTTCAAACTATGCTGCTATATGGGAAATGCAGCTTCACTTCGAGGCAAACCAAGCCTTAGTATAGAATCTGCAATACCAATATACTATCAAGAAGTAAATAAGACAGGAAATAACTAAGTAACTAGGAATAAATAACTAAGGAAGTAACTAAGGAAATACAAGGTATGACTCTGCCCACTGAATTGGCATTCAGGTCTAAGCAAGGCAAAGCTTACCTAACACCCATTTTGTATTGGTTTGGGAATTTTAAAACAGTGCTAGTGTTAAGAAAGGGTTGGTTTTTTGGCTTGGGTTTTTTCTGAGGTCAATCAAGTAGAAATTGCACCTTTTTTACCATCTCCTAAAGCAGTATAGCTAGAACCCAGGTATTTAACAACATAACCTGTTGCTACAGCCCTTTCAGGAATAGCTTGAGAACAAATTCTTGCCTTTATAAACATGCTCCCAAAACACTGAAATAACTGGTATTTCAGCAGCTGTTTATACCAAATTACCTTCCACTTCTACAGTAAGAGCAAGCACCCAGAATGTAAGAAGTGAACAGTTAGGAAAAAACAGTCAAAACAAGCCATCAACTCAAAAACCTCCACTTTTCTGCCTTATTACACTCAGAGCTACTTTTTGAAAGATTAGAAAGAACACTGAGATTTGACCAGCAGCACTGGTTCAGGCAGGGCAAAGGTCTCAGGCACCTGCTTAAGCAGAGGCTGCTCTCTGTGGCCAGGGTCTGCACTAACTGCCCTGGCTGCTGGGGAGCTTTAAACCTTTTGGTCACCTAAAAATCACCTGTTTTCAAGAAAATCCATCAAGAAAACAGTATGTCTGGCTGACCCTTTACTGTATTGAGGTACTTCCTTTTTTTGTTGTTCTCTGCAGGTCTTTTGGAAAGAACTGGTTTTGGAAACAGGAAATACAGATGAAAGCCACATTAGCAGGCTCTTTTCTAAGTTTAACTGAAATTGTACACACTGTAATGGAGACACTCATTACAGGACAGATGAGGGCCCAGAAGTTCCAGTGAAGTTTTTGTTTGCTTTTCAATTTCCTTGTCTAGCAGACCCATCTCATGCCCCTCATGCCTCTCCTCCAGCAGGCAAACTCAGAGAAACACAATTAAACAGGTTTTTTTAAATAGCTGCAAGAAATTTTCCCCCATGACGGACACCCAGATGCAACCCCCTCGTGCAGACTGCAAGGTCAAAGATCAGTTCTTCAGCTCTGCAAAGCAACACACCAGTCACCTGCATAAATGATCTATCTCTCTTTTCTTACTCCCCATCCAGTTATTTTTTCTGAACTACTTCCTGCACTATTGCTTCTCAAGAGTGGCAAACTACTACTTCTGCTGTGAACACATCGATCTTTCCTCTCCCCATCCCAAAACTCCTTCATACAACATCCACACACCAGAGAAAAAGAATCCCATGCCAGGCTCTCTGCCAGTCCCACTGACAACATACCTCTAGTGCACAGTAGTGCTCCCGATGCCATGGCCACTTGCAAAGCCTGAGCCAGTCTGTCTAGAGCCAGTTCAATCTCTTTGGATGCATTGAGAGGATTGAGTTCATCAGATAGTCTGTTAATTTCCTCAACAAGTGGAACCACGTGGTCAAAGGGTACTAGCCCCAGGCGCCCATAAAGGTTCTTCTCCGTTAAATGCCCCTGAAGCATCATAAGAACCTGCAGGACACTTAGATGCAGTTTTGAATACAGCTGATGGCAATCTCTGTCTTCTCCTGAAGCCGAGTCCTTGGCAATTTTGCTGGGAGGATGTCCATTTGAGAGAGAGGCTTTCTTCTTCCTTTTATAAGCCAAGGGGGCCTTCACACACCAACGGATCAGTCCAGTCAGTGGGGTGAGCTCTAAAAACCCTATTGGCAGGTTGGCTGCAATAGGAGTATTTAGAAAGGTGATGAGGATCAAGCGGGGGTCTTCAAAGATCCAGGAAACAATCAACTCGAGCAGATCCGAAGGAGGGATGAGGTCATCTGAAGATAGAAAGTTACTGTTGGGTAAGACGAGCCTTGTACTGAAGCACAGGACAGTAGTCTTTAATTAATCTCTCACACACATTCTTCCTGCACTGTGACAATTACAATTTCAGAACCTCCTCAACTCTGTTTTTTTCAAGACAACAAAGGTAGAGGCTCATTTGTCCCAGCAAAGACAAAACCCTATTCCTGTCAACTTCACGTTCTCCACCTATTCTGAAGACACAGCCAAAGGCCAACATTTATCCCCTTTCCCAGCAAAGCTGCTTTTGCCATTTTCTTCTCTCCCACCCACCATCTGCTCACTTTTTCTCCAAACTCAGTCTTCATTTATCCCTTGCAACAGGAAGTACAATGGGTGAGGGAACAGGAAAAACTTGGTGGCACTTCTTTCTTTTCACCCCAAGCATTCAACTAATTTCCTTTAAGACTTACCTAAACAATCATGTCTTGTGGAAAAACTTAACGCAACAACACACTCACATGATAGGTAAAGGATTATAAGATTACGTAAAGCTTCAAGTAAGAGGTGAAAGACAGTCATGAACTGCAGCTTGGCTATAGACAAGAGAAACTTTGACTTCAGAGTAATCGTGCATCATCCCATCACAGGGGCAGGCTACTGGACTGAGCCTTATTGTACTGAGTACTTCCACTGTGAGTTGTCTACAGTGTCAACAAAGGGGTCAGCACAGGACTGTCTAGTTCTAGTGTCTTTTGTACCTGAAATGACTTACAGGACAGATCATCTGGACTCCAGGATTACTAATGCACACTGGATACAGAATTGGTGTTTTCCAATTTTTAGGTTTTCTGAGACCTTTGAGTATCACAGATACTGCTGTTTGTGTGATTGACTCCTGTCCTCAGGACAGGGTGGAGACTGCCCAGTTACAGATCGCTCTTTGAAGAGCGAGCTTCCTTTTCTTGTGTCACCAATAACATCTCAAATAAACTAAGGAATTAAAAAAATACTTTCTATAAATCATGTTATTTCCTTTCTGACATGTCTTTTAGTTGATCCAAGTGGTTACACAAAGCAGATATAAAATACAGAGGAAGAATATGCTACGGGCTCTACTAAATACTCTTTAAGAAAAAAAGTCTCAGCCTGCAGTTCTCTCACTAATGCCAAGCTGATCATCTGGAGGAGGCCTTGCAAAACATTTCCTTTATCAATAACAAATAGTATTTGCCTTTCTGGATTATATGTGATGTTGGCATTTAGTATATGGTTGGTCCCTAAACTACCATGATCTCTCCATCTCTCTCACTGAGTAAAGGTAAAATCAATCCTTTTTTAGACACCTACACATTTCTAGTGTCTGAACAACCAGAGACAGGTCATACCACTGGCTAGTCACACATACAGTTAAAGAGCGCACTGGAGGTACACTGCTGACTATGTTTCTCATCACCGCTCAACTGGAATTCTGCTCCAGCGAGCAAACACTTGGAATTTGTGTTTCTCCCCCTTTTGGAGGGAATCAGACTGACAGCCAGCCTTGAGTCTATCTGCTGGGCAGGTGACAAACAATAGGGAGGTCCAACTGCCCAACCCAGGTAGATCAACTTTCACTCCTAGAGCTGCTCAATCAATAAGGTCCCTGTGTCCTTTTCTCTCTGTGGAGGATGTTGCCCTCTGTGTCAGGTTCCTTCTCCAGCAAAGACTCTCAGCCACTGAGCAGTTATTTTTATGCTCACCCCAGTGATAGGTGAGGTAACAGCCACACCCCTGAGCTGCTTCTGGCAGTAATTACATGGTAACAAGCATCTTTAGAAATTCAGCAGTTAATTCCCTTGCAGTAGTTAATTTGTGCTGCATTATACTGCACCTCTTACTTCGAATGAAGTACAGCTTGGAAATACTTACCTGAAGAGAGGTCATAGAGAGCTGTGACAGATGTAATGAACTGGCAGCAGAAGCGAGGACTGGCACTGAATATCTGTTTCAGTGTCTGGATGGACCCTGGCACCAAGTTGCAGTAGTCATCGACCAAGGCTCGGGCTAGCCTCACGCAGTACACGGCAGGAGTTCGCTGCAGGGGTGTGGGACAGCACACAAGGAAAAGCAGATTAAACACAAGCACAGAAAGTTCTACGGAGCTGGCTTTAAAGTTTGCATTGCCTAAACACCCAGCCGCTTTCTTGTTTCAACATTTTTATTTCTACTTTCCCAAAACTAAAGTGTGCTTTCCCTCTCAGAGCCACTCAGACAGAAATAAAATTGCTATTCCACAATACTAAAACAGATTATGATATTTTGTGTTTACGGTATCTGTAGTTTAAATTAAAACCTTTTACATCGTTTTGACTTAGATAATTTTTTTTTTTTTTTACTACTTCAGCAACATAGTTCAACTAGTTCAGTATCAGAACAACTAGTTCAGTAACATTTCAGTTAGGCTTGACATTTTTAAAGAGGAAAAAATCCCGTACAATCTTCACGTCACTTAAATGCTGTGATCTGCAAAAAAATACATCTCCTGCTATTCAGGCTACGTCCCCTCCTCCTCTACTAAGGCTCACGAGGTGGGAAGAGAGGGGCCCCACAGAAACAGTACTGGTCTGCCTTCTCCCACCCTTCCCTCTCAGCACAGTCTTTCCCTTCTATAAAGCAGGGCAGTTCTGCACATTCCAGAAATGCAGCAGGAACAAAGATGCACTTCCCAAGGTCTACAGTGGTAAATCTCAACAGAAGGAGATATAGGAGATCCCTGACATACTGCATTCATGGATATGAATGCCAGACATGGCTATTTCATGCCCAAATCTCAAGGGAGAGGTTTGCCTCTTCTGCCTTGTGCAAACTTGCACATCAGGTACAGTTTATTTCCCAAACTTGAGAGTCTGCTTCTTTGGGCAACCTGACCATGAACTGCCATGGTTTTGTTCCCTGTGTTGGACAAACTCTCCACTGACCCCTTTCAACATGCTGGGGTTGGCAGACAGAGTTAAAAAAAAACAAAACACCAAATCTTTCACTAGAAATAAAAAAAATCCCCAATTTTCTTCTGCCAGTGCAGCACATAAATGAACTGTCAAAAGCTCCTCCTTATGCTGGAGCAAAGGAACGGATATGAGCACAGACATGGGGTGAATGTAGCTGCCATGGAGGAGCAGCTGACCGCCACCAGCTGTCACCAACCATTAGGTGACACTCTGCCCCAGTTCAGCTGTACCCATCGTAGCACACTGCCTCGCTCCTTCCCGAATACTGCCCTGCCTGCACAGAAGCTGTACCTGCAGCCAGAAGGCAGCACACTCCAGAACAGGAACTCTGCACACAGCCACTGCCATGGAAACCAGCTTTCCTAATAAAGCCATCCTGCTGTCATCTGCTTTGTTTCCTTGAGGGCTGAAGAGAGATGAGAAGATGATCTGCCGGACTGAATCCTTGGTCTGCTCTTGGAAATAATTGCACATGATCTCAAGGAGCTGAAGTTCCTGAAGTGAATTCAATCTCTGAAAGAAAATAAAAGCAAAGCTGCAAAATACACTGGGGCTTTTGAAGAACCAAGAGCCACTTTGGTCAAAAGGCAGTAAAGGCTGAGAGCTTCCCTCAGGTGTTAGGAACTCAATCTTTATGCACAGCACATATATTCAAACTTTGAGAACCACCACTGCATTTACCTAGTTACACTGGAAAGCTCTAGGTTGTCTTTGAATACGTGAATACCCAAGACTGATGCTTGCTGCACCTGCAAGTGCCCACAAACTGAGATGTGACCAACAGTAATACTGGGGTGAAAAATATTTAATTCCTCTGCAAATAACAGCATTAAGGGCACTGCTGGGCAGCTGGGCCCAGCAGGCCCTAGGCCCATGCACCTCAACACTGACCAGCTGCTGTGGTTTCTCATCACTGCTCTCTGGGAGGCCCCATCCCAGTTCCACCCCATGTCCAGCCATCTAAAATCCCTGATAGGACCCAGCCACAGTGCTGTGGGCAGTTTCCAAGGATCTCAGGGCCCATGACCACCTCCCCAGGGCCCTGCCTGGTCTCCCAGAGTCCTGGCCAGTCAGTCCATCAGGGTCCTGCAGCAGCCCCCCTCCCCACCAAAAATCCCTCAGCTGCCAGCACCCCAGGGACCCCATCCTGTCCTCCTGGGGCCTCGGCCTCCAGCAGCACCCAGAGACCTCAACCTCTCCCTCTAAGACATGGGCCTCCAGGAGCAGCCTCCCTCAGGGATCCTGTCCTGAGGTCCTGGAGCCTCAGCCTCCCTAACCACTCCCTGGGGCTGCGCCCGGCCTCCCAGGGTTCTGCCTGGCCCTGCGCCGTCAGCCCCTCGGGCCTGGCCGGACTCTCAGGGCCCCACAGGGCCTCGCCCCCCAACCGCCCCGCCGTCGGGGCCCACCTTGGGCGGAGCGCCGCGCTCCTTGGGGACCTGGAAGAGGAACTCCTCCAGGAGCTCGGCCGGGCCCTTGTCGACGAGGGGCAGCGGGGCGTTCTGCAGCTGGCTGCTGAAGTAGATGTCGAGGTGGTACAGCACCTCCTTGGCGGCACTCAGCGCGTCCCGCCGCAGC